CCTTTGTTTGAGTGGAGTCATGAGGTCTTGTTTCAGATTTTGCTTAATCACAACTGAAGCAAACAGCCAGTGATGTTGGTGAGTGCTGCGTTTGAGAAACATTCAGGACTAAACAAGGATGTTATCGATAGGGCTGAAATACGCAAGTCCACAACTAAATACAGTAGCAAATGAGGTTGCAGACAATGTGTATGTTTATAAATATAATACACTCATGTTATTGTTTGCATTCTTGTTTGCAAAATGTCCTATGATATTTTGGATGCCCTTTCCCTCTGCACGATTGAATTGCTGGGTGAGATCTTAGGACTTGGCTCTGTTATGCACAAGGGTTGCTTTGTGCATCAGGAGGTGAGTCCCTGGTACGTGGCCTGTAACGCTGCACGCTTTAAAAAGCATGTTGGCATGCGTATTTCTGTGAATCCAAGCTCTTCAACATTAAAGCAAGACCCTTTGTTTTAATCATTAGAGAATGAATCCAGTGCTAATAGCACTTAATTGTTTCCCTAGAATGATCTGCGTTGGTTTTGGCAGCTGAAATGAAAACAATTCCAAATACCATCAAAGGAGCTTATCCACACACAGCGTGTACAGGGAGGGTGTTTTGATATACAACGGTGTGTTAATATCGTAACATCTCCTAATACTGCACACGGTGCTGTAATCCTGTTCTGTCTCAGGCTGTGATCTTGGAAGGTCCGATGGGTAAAAGCAAAAGGAATAAAATAGACACAGAAAGTCTCGGTCCTTGCCCCTGAAAATAATGTGCTTCAAGCATATACCTGGATTAATCTTGACTTTCTTGAAGCTTGCCCGCTAGTTTAAATTTGTATGCGACATCAAACATACCTTTTCACATATGTTCTTTCCAGATTTTTTTTAACAGTTACTTAGCAGTTTATAGAAGGAAGTGAATGATCTCATCAAGCTGCTTAGAAATTAAAAAAAAATCTGTGCTTATTAATTATGCAGGATTAGTCTAATTATAATTCAGCAAATTAATTAGCGACAGAAGGTGTTCTGAAACATTGGAGTACATTTGCATGTTAAATGGAGAGGCTAGTCTGTAATATATGTAAATTTATGCATGGCTTCATAGTTTAATTTAAAAATTTGCAGCTGCATATGGTATGGGAGCAGGTGAAAAGTCAGTTTTAGTTTAATGATGCTAACAAACATTGGATGCTGTCCTGTCTTAGGGAAGGAATGCACTGAACGCACCCCTATCTGCCAATCTATAAATCTGTCATAGGAATATAATGTTACACCGATCTTCAAATTCAAGGTCATCTGTGACTAGACCCAGAAGTACAATAGGTGCAAATCTACCAACTGAATAGACCTCCGAAAAAGGAGGAGGCAAATGTGTATGGACCCAAGTTGCTGGGATGTAAATTTGCCTCTTTAGGAAGTGAATGCATGTTTATTCTGTGCAAAACCAGCTCAGGGACGGGTGATGCTCTTGCCCTCATAAATGAGCGAGAGCTTTCAGCTGAGCCATGCCCACTCTGGCAGGTGTAAAATGGGTGCCCAACCTTGGTTCCGTCTCTAACACTCGCATCAGTGCAACTTTCTGATCTGTTGGAGCCACCGGAAAGTTATAACCAAGTTCTGCAGTAACTGCAGGGCAGAGAGTTTTTATGTGCTGGCCTCTGCCATCTGGCAGAAATAGTAAAAACCAGCAGACCCAGCAGCAGCAGAAAGGCTGTTGGTGTAATTGGTGTTCACTGCTCAGCCTTGCATGGCTCAATAGACGTTTTTTGAGAGCGACGGGGTTAGAGGATAGAAGAGTTGGAAGATAAAGGAATGATGTTTTTCTCTGGGTATCAGAAAAAAATGAGTGGGGATCAGATTCTGTGCTCATGTAACCTCAATGTAAGTCTTTTCTGGGCTCCATAGGGTTTGCAAAGTACAACTGGAGTTAAATTTGCACCTGTGTAGAGCTATAAGGACAAAGTGATACCAAAGAATGACCAGAGTAACCAGTATTGCAGAGCATCTGGCCTATGTTCCTGTGATACTGTCCAGCACCAAACTGTGTGCTTGCTGCTGAGGCTGACTTAAGTGTAATGAAGAAGAATTTGGCTGTTTTTTCAAAGTCCTGCTGGGTGTTGTGTTCTGAGGTGAGCTTTAGGAAATTTTTGTCGCTATTAAAAAGAACCAGTAAAATCACAAACGTGGCTTGCAGGAATGGTGTGTGGTTCTTGACTGGAAGAGCAACTTGGTCTGTGCTACGGGGTGAGTCACTTAATTTCTGTGTGCCTTGACTTCTCCATCAGTGAAACGAGTATAAAACCTTTTCTTTCCTCCTGTCCTTTGTGCATCTTTTCTCCAGTAACAATTCCACAACGTGACTGTGCAATGCTTAGCACAGTTGGAGCCCGCAGATACTGTAATAAACCAGGGAATATTATCTGAACGTCCCTTTCAACAGCCCGTCAGCCCAATCCTCCACTCTATTACCTCCCTGCCTATTGACTTTTGATTGTGCTAGGGCGTTTGGGCCTGTGCCAAATGGCATGAATAATATGGATCTTACAGTATAAATAAGCTTTTAGCCATTGTCTTGTAAGTTACTGGAAAGTTTTGGTGTGGGAGGAAGGAGGAAAACCCAAAGGAAAAGGGGAACCGCTCAGATTGCACAGTCCTCCAAAGACATTTTGGAGAACAATTGCAATTACAAACACGCTGTTAGTGTTGTGTTTCATTTTCAATTCGAACCCATAGAGTTCAATTATTATTTTCATTAATGGTGTCAGGTTTTCATCAGAGTGCACAAACAAGGCGGTTTTCCTTGGAGATTTTTTTTTTCCTAGCAAATGTGGCCATGCCAAATAACTGCATTCAGCACCAAGAAATGACTGTCTGTGTAACCCGCAGTGCCTCTCCCTCAACCCTTGTTTCTTGAAAATGGGATCACTTTGCAAGACAGAATAAGCATTTACCAAATGAGTGTGAATTGCTGTGGATGCGTGTGCCTGCTGCTGCTCACAAGAAGTGGAACAGAAACTACTTCAGAGATGGAAATTGTGCAGAAGGTGGAAAACGTACAGAATATAAATACCAAGTTTAGCGACATGTTTTGGCTTTGGATGACACGCTGCAGGTTTACATTCAGTTACTATTAGTTTGACAACTAAGCTCTTAAAAAAAAGCTGCTAGATACAGGGCAGAGAGAAATATGTTGATGCAGGTTGCAGAGAGATGGGATGTTTGAGGAGGAATTGTTCTGTGGTAAGACATGAGACTGGGAGTTGGGTGTGAATTCGTGCCCAATCATTGCCGTGGGCTCAAGGTGCAATGTTCTTCTTGATCCATCTGAAATGCAGGATACCAGCACTTTCATCCTGTATCTTGAATACATAACGTCGAGTGTTACTTACCCAAGTGTGATTAGGACCTCTTGGCACGGCAAACAAATAATAATTAGAAGCAGTTTTAACATGGGTACCACCATCCCGTAATTTTAAGGTTGACTTTGAAGGTAGTCTGATCTGTTGACCTGCCTTAGCTGAATCATTGACCTTTTTTTGTTCCGTTTTCACATCCATCTCTAGCATTTTTTCTCAGCTCAGTGTTGCAAGAGGCCAGAGACTGTACAAATCAGACACTTTCTAGTAATATTCTTCTGCCTTCCCATAGTGTTTCAAGTGGCTTTTCGGGTCTGAATACTAGGCATAGAAAAAGAGGCCCTGAATAATGGTCCCACATCAAAACTTAATCTAAAAATCTAAATTGAAGTGATTGACTAAGTGTGGGAGAAATAAAACAGGAGTTAAACAGTAGGTGTTGGTAAAATTGTACTGATAGCCTTGGAAAACTAAATTGGTTTGATACTTAGAATTATCGGATATTCCCAATTTATTTGCGGGATACAATGCCTTGTGGCATTTCAAAGTCCTTTTTGAGCTTTTTTCCTTTTCAGAAATAAAAGTACTAATTCCACCTGTTCTCTATTACATTTGTCTGATCTGCATGTCTTCATATGCTTTGCATGGCGAGCATCTTGGAATGAGCATGCTGTTATGGATTGATTAAATATTAATTTAATAATAAAGACGGGCCTAAACAAAAAATGTCTGATCTAGACTTTCCTCAGTGCAAAGGATCTTTGTGTCCTGAAGATTTTGGTCCAAACCACCTTGATTTAAATAATATAAGTACAACTACACAAAAGCCTCACATCTTGAAGCCAGCTTCACTTTTGCCATGACAATTCTGCTAACAGGAGCGCGGTTACTCCTGCACTGTACTCTTTAGACCTCTGCAGAAGCAGACTTTACCTTGGCAAGCATCTATTTCAAAGCTGGAAAGGAAATGTAGAGTGCAGGAAAAAGTTCCTATAGGAAGGGGTCAGGATCAGTGCTTAGAAGCTAAGGGACAAGAGAGAGGTGAGATGAGGAGAAAGGTGTAATGGCAATATAAAGGGCTGTACGTGGCCGAAAGTATAGGGGGAAGCGTAAAAATAAGAATCACAGAAATTTCTAAGGGAGGGACCTCAAAGGATCCCCGAGTCCATCGCCCTTATCCTGTCTCCCCTCTCATGCAAGGCTGAGGAATCCTCTTGCCTGGCCTGGTTGTCCTCTGCGTGCAGAAGTGCGGAGCTGGAGAAAAGTCTGACCACATCAGTGGTCCCGTAATCGAAGAAATTCACTTTGATTTTAGGCAAGAGGGTAGAGAAGCATTTTTTCTTTTTCCCATCAGGAAATGAGGACGTTGTTGGGGGCAGGAGCAGCAGGCATAACGTTCATGTGCGTTTTCTGGTGTAACTGGAGTCTTTCTATTAAAAAACAAGTGACATATGAACAGCCAACTCCTCTTCTCCTGGCCTAGGCTGGGGACCTCATGTCGTCTGACTCCTGCTCCCTTCTCTCGCAGTAAATCTCTGAAAAACTCAGAAAAGTCTTCTGACCTACATATGTTGGTTTTCACATTTGTTAAACTGGGTTCACGCTTTATGCACAGGAGTTTTGTGAAGATTAATTAGCTGCTGTTTGTAGAATATCACATAAATACTCTGGATTATTGTAATAACCTCACTCATTTCTCACACGGTGTAAGGTGTGTGTTCATTTAGAATGCCTTTGTGCAATGCCTGATCCCACATTGACTATAACTGCTGGAAAAGAGCAGGAAATTTTCTCATCAGCTCCCTAATAATACACACTGACATAATAGAACGAAATTACTCCAGAGATAAATATCCAGATTATAAAGAAGTCTTCTACTGTGATATTCATTAAAATCAAGGTGATGATATCAAATAAATGCAATTAATTGATTTTAAATACTGACCTTCAAATGTATGTGCAAAATCTGACCTAGTCCCTTTGAAAGGAAGAAATTTCAAGTCAAGCCGTCTCCTTTGTGGTGGTGTGGCAGCGGGTAGGGTTACTGGTCACGCTTATCTCAGAGTTTGCAACGCCAAGACACACATGGGTGAGTCGAGGGGAGGGTGGGAGACCCTGATGTCGGAATTTCCTAACTTTGATGGAGTTGGAGTCCGGCCCTCACCGTAGTGGTAGTTTTTCAGTACATAGTCTGTTTAATCTTAATGTTGTTTAACTGGAGCAAAGATATTCAAAATAACAGCTGCTAGCTTTTTCTTTGTTCACTTTGTGACTTTTTGGAAGCACTTTAAGTGTTTAAGCAGAATGCCATCATATCCTTATATTCTCATTAGATTGCAGCATCGTAGGGTTTGCTGACGAACGTAATCATACTAGATGGTAGGCATGTTCTCATGCCAAAAAATGACTGAGGCCATGAATCCAAATCCTCCAGTAACCCAAACAAGACAGAATTATCTCAGTATTTGCTTTACAAGGGATATTTTTGAAGTGTATCCAGAGGCTGCTCACAAGATTAAAAAAATGTTGTACCTCTTGATTCTGTACCCGCGTTTTAAGGAAGCACAAAAGGTGGATAGGAAAGTTAGTTAAGATGTAGCACCAGGAGCCGGGAGATCCGAGTCCTAGTCCCAGCTCTGCGGCAGACCTGCGGTGTGATGGGGAGCAATTCCCTCCCAGTTTCCAGACCCTGGCATCTTTGCCTGTGACACGGTGAGTCACACCACCTGCTGCAGAGGGCTTTTGTGAGGCACAATTAATTGGAGTTTAAGTCCCATAGAATGGCGCTATAAAAGCGCAAAGCAAATTATCTATTTCTGTGGTTCCACGTGGTGAGACTCATCAGTCCCAGGTCTTGTGGCAGGCTCTTAAAAAAACAGTAATGGATTTTATTTTTTTTTTAAACTACACCTTCTGTTGGATGTGGGACGGCTCTTTAGGGCTTCTGTCTAGTCCTGTTGAAGTCATGAGAAAGATTTTTTTAAATTATTTTTTTTTTCTTTTGACTCTAACAGGATTTGATTAAGGTTCTTCTCAATCTGAGATGGAGATTATCCTTCTCAAAGGTGTGGAACATGCTTTCTAGTTCTAGCCACTTGTTTAAGTTGCCTCAGGTAGGTACAGAACCTAACAATATAGGCATCCATAGACAAGGTGGGAGTGTGGGTCAGCAGTTGCTTCGGAAAGAGCTTGAGAGCTGCGAGGCCTCACCTGCTTTGCCCTTACCCTTTCTCCTTGGCCATTGGCAGCCTTCTGCAGCAGCATTTGTTCAGTCACCTCTCAGCTGTACTATGGATTGTAGGAGCGCTCCAGGCCCGTGTTCCCACAAAGTCCGATAGGATTGCTTGTAGTATTGGTGAAAAATAGTTGAGATAACACAGCTGTCTTTGTACTGAAGTGAAAAAGAGGCACTTCATCAACCTAACTCCTCAGCATGACGGTAACTCCCAGTAGGAGAAGCAATAACTTTTGAAATATCTCCCTCTAAATCCTAAAAGAGGGAGTTCTATTTAAGGTGGCATTTTGGAGACCTCTGCGAGTGTATCAGTCTGTAGATAGAACGCTTGACTACACAATAGGGAAAAAAAAGAGAAGTCTATAGTTGTATCTTAATTAGTTTTATGTCTAAGCATGAAGTTAGTCAAGTTTTCTACAACAATGCCAGAATTTTTACTGGTAGTCATTCAAAAGTATTTAGGTTTTCCCCCAGTGCCCTTAGATGTTGATCTATGAGATGACTGGGCCGTGCTCTCTGCTTGGCTGGAATCGGAGTTATCTGCTAAACTCATAGCTAATGCTCTCCTCAGGAAGGAACAAAGGCCAGCTAAGAAACATGAAAATGAGCTAATTTTTCTAAATCCTGTTTTTTAATTTTTGATATGTGTATAGGTTAAGGCCAAAAACTGGCTAAAGGTTCTCATTTAAAAAAATTAATAAAAGCTTTCTGCAATTCTCCTGTTACCCCTAAATCAGCTTCATTTAGTGCTAAACCTCCCCTCCTCTTTGCTCCCCCAAGTCATTTTTATTCTAATGCTGCAATAAATATTAATGCCTTTCCCAGATGCAACCACTTAAAGTATATATGTATATGTAACAACCTACCGAACGCTTCATGCGGATGCCCAGTTGCTGCTAAAATTTGACTGGAGAGACTCTGAAAAGAGAAGAAGAGAAATGCGGTTCAACTAGAGGAAAGATAAAAATTCTTGAGTGTGCATCTAAACAAAACTAAATGTAAATCTGAGGGAAAACTTAGTGCAGCATATCCAGTGAGCTCCAAAGAAACTACAGATGTCTCAGCAGAGACAAGACGTATGGATGCTGCCACGATGCGCCTTCAGAAGTGAGATGAGGAATTACTGATGCCCGCTTTGTAATATCCTAAAGGTGCTCAATTTTCAGCAGCTCCGGCGCTCAGCAATTCCAGAAAGTCGGGCACCTTTAAGATGTCTCCAGTGGGAGCCAGAATTGCTGTTGGAGAACTCTCCTGGCTGAGCACCCTGAACTCGGCGCGTTTGCCGAATGCTGCTTATTGCAAAGCAGTCGGTGAGAGCCGAGAGCGCCCCGCGCCTTGGAGGGAGCAGACGGCTCGGAGAGAGAGGAGAGTTTTGTTTTCTGAGTGTTTTTAACGGACAATACATCTGTTGCAGGAATCGGCACAGATCTGATGGAAATCCAAGTTCATTTTCACATACGCTGCTGCTCTGTGGCTGCCGAGGATCTGAACCCCCCTTTTCGGGAGACATTTAGCAGAAAATACGAATTTAGTGGATTGTCATGGGACACTGCGGAGTTCAGTCACTGTCAAACACACATTCCAAATTTCTAACTTTTTGTATCTGCTTTTTCGAGCCTTGTGTAACGTGCGTCACCGCAGTGTCTCAGCTCTTCCACGGGCAGTTCCGCTGACGCAGCGAGTTCTCTTCCCGACACCTTTCTTTGCTCTGGTTTTCGTCGTTCTTTAGTTCGTGCTGAGCATTTTTCTTACCTAGATGAATAGGGACGCCAGCATTTTAAAAATTTTTGAAGGAAATGACATTAATTTGAGCTTTTATTTTTCCTTGAAAGTAACAACTCTTGCGGATTTTTGTTTGCAGTTGTCCTCCAAAATAATCAGTTAGCCAGCAACTCATCGTAAAAGTTACTTGCCTCGGTGTCATGATGTGGTTTGGTTCTGTTCTGCACTTTTCCCTCCCATAGGTAGAGCTCAGGAACATAAAAGCCGTTTATGTATCTGCAAATATTTTTTTTTGTATTCGTAAGAAGGAGGCAGGATAAAAAGGAGTATTTGTGAGTAACATTTCTGGCTCAAATTCTCCTGTGAATCTTTGCGTGTGCCCGCACGCATCGCATTTTTCCTTCTGCAAACATTCTTACCGATAAAATCTTGCTTATGGAATCCTTCAAATAAAAGAGGTCGCAGGTTTTTGCGTGAGGAGCCAAGAAGACTTATTTGATAGAATCTCTTCACTCAGTGCTGTTCCTGAGGCGTGGAGTTCTGTAGGATTTTTGGTTCAGAATAGCAGGAGGTGGCCAGGGCTCTGTTCACAGAACTTGCCCTCTGAACCTGAATGCCAGTGGACGAGGGACCGCAGTAGGACGCTGTACGGTCACCCTCATCTGCCACGGGAAGATCCAGTGAGCTCTTTACGTCCTGAATGAGAAGGAACCACGGAGACAGAAATAACAGTCTGCAAAATGCACGCTCAGAGAAAATATTATAGATGTTTTTAAAATATTTGTGAGAGATTTAAGGAAAAAAAGGAACCTTAATTTAAAAAGCTCCCTGGCAGGATGTGTTCTGTGACAGTCATTTTATATGACGTTATCTGGGTCTTTTTTCTGGGTTCAACTGTTGTGGGGTTTTCAAAGGGTTTTGTTTGTTCAAGCAACATATAAATGGATCAGATCCTGCAATATTTCTTGGTATGTTTGGGGCAGATGGAAGAGAAACAGCACGATGTAAGCGGTGCAGAGAAAGCAGCGATAACAAGGGCGCGTGGATTTCTGCTTTATTATCTTGCGTTAGGACTATTTTGGTGGTGGTTGTTGGTAAACCCTGGGAAATATACATCTTTCTCCTTTAAAGTTCTAATTCAAGGCATGAATGTGTGAGTTCTGAAGGGACTTAGGGACTGCGGTAAAAAATCGTTGTCATAGTAACAGAAAGGGAAATAGGCCTGGCTCACCTGGGACTTTAACTTACTGCAAAAGCGGATTTTTTTTTTTTTTAAGGAAAGCACTCAGCAACAGAAATAAATAAATAAATCGTTCTTTGTATTCTAAATCAATTCTTCAACTATTTATTTTTTTTCTTATATCCAAGTCTTTTTCCTTCTAACTCTATCTTAAAATCTTCAAATTTTTTTTTTTTTTTAATTGTTGCAGTTAAACCCATTTTGTCTTAACAAACAGAAATGAAAAGAATCACAGACAATATTTTCACTTTTGACAGAGGATGCAAAAAAAAATTTCTTGCTTATTATGTCTGAATTTTGAAGACGGGCTGTTTTTTTTTTTAATCCAACAACTATGATTTTTCATATAGTTTTTCTTTACCTCTGAAATTCACAAATTTAATCAGATCAATCGGATAACAAAGGGATGAATCGTCTTCTCCCTGGATTTGACAGAAAATTTTGGGGAAAAGCTTATAGAAAAATGCCTGTCTAATATTTCTAAACTGTAAAATCTATCTGCTCTAGTGCACAGTATGGGTAAGGCAGTCAAGCATGCTGAAAATTCAACTTGTGTACATGGCAGGCTAAACTCTGCAGAATAATAACACATAAAGATAGGCGTAGGTGACGGGGCCAAAGTAATTGGCACAAGAACTTTGTACCATGTTAATAGGTTTATCTGCTTGGACAGCATGAGCTGTCATGCATTACTTCAGGTCGTGTTTTTGTTATCCTCTCTCAAAATCTCTGTAAGATTATAATCTGAGCTGTCGACAGTTCTGCTTCTCTGCTTTAGTTACCGAAATCTTAATCACTAAAAACATCATCATGATGAAATCTCATCAGCTTCTTCGAGGAGCTGTATTTGTTTCTGTGTTTTTTAATACGTTTGAAGTAGTTTCAGGGCTTATCTGCCTCAGAGTTGCCCTGTTGGTTTTTGTAGTTTTTACAATAACATTATCCTTCTGTATTGTTTCACGGGAAATCCCTTCAGACAGCGAAAGAAAGACCTTGTATGCCGGGGAGAGATAAAGAAGGAGACTAAAATTGTGTGGTCAAGGATGCAGCAAGGAAGCTGGCATAAATCAGAGCGGATATGTTGATTTATAGTAGCGAGCAGCCCAGCTCAGGGTGGATTACAGTCCCATTGGTTGTACTTTAGCTGGTATTTTTAACTTCTGTTTGTTAGGGTTTGGTTTTGTTTGTTTTGTTTCAGAAAGTTCTTACAGTCCTGGTCTACTGATACACCATGTAAATCACTACGATGTATGCTTTAAAGCAGACTATAACAACGTAAGGTTTTTGTGGTTAATAGAAGTGACGTGGTTCTTTATCTTTCCAGATTCTTCTTAAAATTTTTTCTCAAGTGCAATCAGAATTGTTTGAAAACAGCAGGAAACCCAAGAGATATGAGACGGTTCCAGGTAAGCCTTACAAAGCTCAATATTAACCTGTCTGGTTTTTTTCTTCTTTTCCTTTTCCCTCTCCTCCCTCCTACATTGTTCATAATAAATATGATGACAGCATATGATAAACCGTATCAGATATTGTTAAAGTTTTTCTCCATTTGTTGTGTTTAAACCTTTTTTTCCCCTTCTTTCCTCTTTTTCCACTCTGAATCCCCAAGGGGAAGTGATGTACTGTACCAACCAGCAGTGGATATTTGATTTGACACCCTCGGGCAAAGCACTCGCACATACAGCTGCCCACAGCAGGGATCATGTTTGTGATACTTAGATGCCTCAGAATTTTTCAAAGTAGCTCTCTACGTGGTACACAAGCAGTCTCCTCATTTCCCTCCACTCCCTATCTCTTTCCATCTCTTTTGCCTTTTAACTCTCTCACGCCCTCCTTTCCAGCTTCTTTACAAAAAGCTGCCCAAACAGCGATGGTCACTTTAAGCTCTCGTGCAGCAAAGCAACAGGACCCATGGGACAATGACCCAGCTGCTTTGCAGTGAGATCTGCCACTGGTTTCATCATCGTGTGGCTGATGTATTGTGAACACCCGCTCATGCAAACCCAGGAGGAGGTGAAGAGAAAGGCAGGCAGGCTCCCATCTTCCCTACCCCAACCTTTTAAGCAACTACGTTTAATAAATGAGGATTTTACCTGTAACTTGGCTCTCCCAAAAATGTAAATGGAATGCTCAGGACTTTCACATCCTGGATGCACTGTGGCGTCCCTGTGTGGTGTGGAAGGTGCCATGGCATGGAAAAGTGGCGTTGGAACTAACTGATGGAATGGAGTGAGGCAGCATGGTCTGGCGGAGGGGATACAGGATGGCAAGTCAGATGGTGGGACTGCACCACTCATTTGTTGGGTGACCTTTGATGAGCCGTTTTTCCTTTTAGTATTTATTTCCACCTCTCCAGTGGGGTTGCTTACCTTGGTAAAACTCTGTGGTCTTGATTCAGGAGAGCGTTGGAGAAAGCGCACACGTGCTTTTCCAGCCGGAGCCTTTGAAATCTGCTGATGAAAATCAGGACTGTCCTTGTAAATGCTGTTACTGCTTGTTGTGATTGTTACTGTATCTTCACTGTGCCACGTCCCTGACACAAAGAGGATTTTACCTTACTGGGGGATGCCTGATTTCCAGGTGGGAACTACAAGACTTGTAGTAGGAAGGTGACATCCTTAGGTTTGGCAATTCATGTTTTGTTACTTGGGCACTTGCATCAGTTTCCTCATTTATAAATGAATTTAAAACTCCACAGGAGTTTACAGAATTGTTTAAACTTTCCACCAAAATATGTTTTTACAGACAAGTGATTTTTTTCTTTTTTTGCTTTTACTAGCAATGAAAAATACACAGGATGTATATTTTTACTGGGGGAAAAAAAAAGAGTTCAGCTTTTTAAGAGAAATACTGCAAAACAAAAGCTTCTGAAAGCTCCAAAAATTTTAAAGAAATGTAGACCAAAATTATAACAGTTGCTATTTTTTTGAGTGGAAATAAATTTAGAGAAAAATTCCTGACCAACTTAATTTTTTTCACTAGTGGTTTAAAGAGACTGCAGTGACTTCTTCATTCCGTGTTTCTAGTGGTGATAAGACATGAGAAAAAAGAGGTGCTCATTGTTAGGAAATTTATACTGATTTTTTTTTCAAGTGGCAATTTCCATAAAGAAGAAACACCAATTAGATATCATCCACCAAGAATGCGAAAAATTCTGAGAGTAAAGGAAAACTCAATTTATAGCATGTAAACAGATCTTGTTAGCTCTCAGAGCCAGCTAGAATAGCTGATTGTGGAATGTAATGAAACATAAACAGAGCCTCTTTTTTTTGTTTTGTTATGAGTTTGTAAAAAATCTTGCGCAAGGGTATCCTGATTAGCACCTGGGGATTCGAGGCACTGCCATATTGCAAATAATATTGGTTGCAACAGCCAAAATGTAAACTCTGGATCCAAACACACCTGAACACTGGAGAAATTCAGGTCTGGTTTCAGTCTCATGCTAGCTGCCACCTCACTATGATGAGTGAAACCAAAATCCTAGATATCCATCAGCTGCTGAACTGCAGGAGGATTTGGGGTCTGGGATTTTTTTTGGCAGAAATCTCTCTCTGGTATCAGCCATGTTCTTTGTTTCACCCCTCTATCTCCACTCCCAAAGTGGTGATGTTATAGAGCCTAAACAACTTCAGATTTCCAGTGAAACGTTGAACAGGGAAACCGAAACGAGCCTTACGGCACCCACATGGTTACTGCTGGAATGCCTTCATTCTGTCAGCCCATCCACCTGGCATGCCTCTTTTATAGGAGAAAGTAAAGTTATTTTGATCTTTGTATCAAAATCAGCCATTTATTGGAGAAAAAAAATGAACTGGGCTAGACTCTTCATCTGGGTTTTGTGCCTTACAGCATGCCAAGCCGGAAAACCAGAGCCAAGTGAAACTCTCTGGTTCTGTTTTGCAGGGCTTGCTGCAACTCCTTTTGCACTTTCCCTCCATGTGAGTTCATACCCTTGGAGTTTCCTTGTGAGATTGAAGTTCCAACCCCCAAATTAATCAAGATCAGGCAAAACCACTAGGTTTAGCTTACTTCTTGTCGAAACCGGAAATGTTGACAAGGCTTTGCTTCAGAGTTACAAAAATGAACCCTTTGAGACAAATTGCAAAATGCTTGAGGTTTGAAGTGAAAGCAGGATCTTCCTTCAAGCCTGCTCAAAACTGGACACATCGGTTGATGAGCTTTGTTCTGGGCTACAGAGGTCAGTATGTATTAAAAAAAATAAATACAAAAAGTAGTTCAGTTTCTAAAATTTTACACATTGGGATTAAAAAAGCTCTGTGTTCCAAAGGAAATTAGCCATAATGAACTGTAAAGACAACAAGCAAAGACAGCTTGTTTTCTGTCTGCCTCGTCGTTTCCAAGGATAGAAGCATGACTTCCCTGAATGTAACAAAAGTTAGGAGTGTTCTTGAATGCTCCACTCTTTTGGTTTTCTGGATCTTCCTGGGTTTTGGCAGATTTTTTGTTTCTGTTTTGTTAGAGGTTTTTTTGGGTGTTCTTGTGTCGTGTTTTGGTTTGGTTTTTGTTTTTAAGTTTGGCAAACACTTCTCTGCCTGCTGCTTCTTGAGCATGGTCTGTCAGCTACCCTCAAAGTCAGTAGTGGGAAAAACAGATTACTTCAGATATTAGTGGTGTGCTTGCACGTTGTGAACATTTACATCAGGCAAAGTAATTAATGTGCAGAATTGATTATTAGGTTTGAAAGGACCGTTGTTCGTCCTACCAGCACAAGAACATGTGAGCAGAGTAAAAGCAGGGTCAAAAAGTGCAGTGCAGTAGGATACTTTGTTCATTTTATGATTTAATTCGTTATGTTTTATTCTTGGGCCACATCTAAAACCTTTATTGTTTTTTTTCCTAATAAATTATTTGTACAGCTGTTGTTATTAAGGCCCTCCTCTTTCAAACATTTCCACGTATTTAACTTTCCTTATGCAAACAGACTTCTGCAGCAATGCTGAGCTGAGTATCTTTTAATTTGTACTGATGTTTTTCTGCAGAGCCAAATATATTCATTTTCAATGGAGCAGTGCTTTTCAGATGTGCAGGAGACATTAAGATACTCCTTTTTTTATGGTTATAGAAAAAAACAGGAGAGAACCCCTGTATCAAAGATGTCATTTAAATTGCTGCTGAAACCTGGAACTGAAGAGGTCTCACCAAAAACCATTTTTACTCTTTCATGGAGGTTGAACGAAAGCCCAAGACTCAGGCTTTGTTGTTGAGACATAAATATAACTAAAGAGACATGGAAATGGTGCTGTACAATGCATCTTATTGAGTTCTTCCAGCACGGAAGAATTGTTACTCATGTCTGGAAAAGTGTCAAGTTAATGCTTCTGATTAGAGATGGGTGTGAAGCTACAGAGTTTGGGCTTGGTTTGGCTGATAACCAAAGTTCCAGGGCGTTGGGACCCGGCCTGAGCCTCATTTCTAGATATGTTAAAAGATTTAGATATTTTATAGTATAGTTACAATATATTAAATCAAATGTTAGATTTCATTTATATCACACCCATTTAAAAAAAGGGGGGTGGGGAGAAAAAAGAGTGGAAAGGTTACGTTAACACTGCATTGTAAATTTAATACAGCTCCAGATGCCTGAAGAGGTTTTTTTTTTTTAGTGTAATTCTTTAGTTTGGAGAGCAACACCAGCTGCTTTGTGATCACATTAACTATTTGAAATTTGCTTTGATATTAAGTGCAGCTTCAAAGATACTCAAATACGTATGCAGATCAAGTAATATGTCCTTGCAAATTTAACTGATGCAAATCCTGATTATTTATCAATTAAAATCTTTCTGAATAAAGATTGTCAGTGGAAAACTGAAACAAAAAGCATACTAAAATCACCTATTTAAACCATAGTGCTATTTGAGTTCAGCTAATCTGCTAATATGAGTTTTCCTAGGTATTGTCATTACTGTCATTGCTGTATTCTCAGTGAGTGATTCACCCAGGAACAGAATTTAAAAAAAATTACGCCCTCCATTTAATGAGGACTTCTCGTAGAGAACTTGGTTGAAGCCCAATGATACTTAATGGTAACGACCGGTGTGTAATGGGGGACAATAATTCTGTGGAATTAAGATGAGACACTTCAGCTAAAATGCTTCAGCTGAGACCTGATGCTAACGCATTAGACTCCTGTTGATTGGGAATTCTGCTATTATGTTATCCACTAACATAATGATTAAACAGATCCTACAGTGCCACGGCCGAGAGAGTGGTACAAGGCAACAGAACATCAATACTAACCATGGTCATCTTTGAACCAACATGTTTTTTAGAAATAAAAAGAGAAAGGTCAGCAGTTGCCCTCTGTTTTCAGCAGAAATTATGACATGGAATGTTTCCTGGCAGGTATCCCCCTCTAGGTGCTCTAGGGACAAAGAGAAAGGAAAAA